TGGGGCTGGGAGTGGGGTGGCTGGCAGCCTTGAGCCTGCTCCTATGGGATGCTCCTCGCCCCACAGGTGAATTGCTACAGCTCGGTGAAGGACACCATCTACAACTATGGGGCCCTGACCATCGATGGGGACGAGTATATCCCCTTTGAGAAGTACAGGGGGAAGATGGTGCTCTTTGTCAACGTGGCTACGTACTGAGGCTTGACCCTGCAGTATGTTGGTAAGGGTCCCATGGGGCATGGTCACCCCAGGGTCAGGGCAGGCAGCCCAGAAGCAAGTGGCATCACCCACGTGTGAAGCCTTTGGCACAGCCCCATGGTCCATTCTGCTTCAGCGAGTTGGGGGAACGGGTAACACCTCCTCCCAGGGCCTGGTACAGCTGGGGATGCTCCGAGGGGGTGGGTGCAGGTGTGGGGGTATGCCTGGTCCCCTGCTAACCCACCCCTGGTCTGCTTGCATGCAGAACTGAATGCACTACAAAATGAGCTGGCAGACCAAGGGCTCGTGGTCCTTGGCTTCCCCTCCAACCAATTTGGGAAGCAGGAACCTGGCCAGAACTCAGAGATCCTCCCTGCGCTGAAGTGAGTACTGTGGTGGTGGCTGTGGGGCACCTGACCCCCCTTGGCTGTGCTGCACACCCCAGCTGCCAGGTGGTGGGTGCATAGGCTGCAGCTCCTGCTGGCTGTGACTGACCTCCCAGCCTGGGGCTCTGGCCCCCAGAACAAGGAGTTTGGGGTCCCCTCACCACTCCGTGTGCAGCAACAAGAGCACATCTTGCCCACCCTTCCTTTTCAGGTATGTCCGGCCAGGAGGTGGCTTTGTCCCCAACTTCCAGATCTTCCAGAAAGGGGATGTGAACGGGGCAAAGGAACAGAAGGTCTTCACCTTCCTGAAGGTGGGTGCTGTGGCAAGGGGGGATGAGGGGGAAGCACCCAGTTGTTTTTTTGGAGGGGCAAAGCAGTGATGCACTGGCCTTCCATTGCAGAACTCCTGTCCCCCGGTGGCAGAGGAGTTTGGGAACCCCAAAAACCTCTTCTGGGAGCCTCTGCGGAACCATGACATCAAGTGGAACTTCGAGAAGTTCCTGGTGGGCCCTGATGGTGTGCCTGTCATGCGCTGGTACCATCGTGCCAACATCTCCGTCGTGAAGAACGACATCATGGCCTACCTGCGGCAGCGGCAGTCGGAGCAGTCAGACCAGTAGAGCCTAGGGCCGCTGGCACAAGGGGTGGCATCTCCCCCATGCTGGCATCCCCCTGACTGCTTCCTGTTCTGTTCCCTCCCAGGATGTTCCCCCATCAACAGGCACCACACACTGCCCCCTCCATTGCTCCCGTCTCTGGCCGGGATGCTGGGCAACCCCCCGGCAGAGACCTCAGCAATGGGAGTGGGACAATTCCCAGGAACCCTGTTTCCCACCTCCACCCCTGGTGGTGACATCTCCTGGCCCTCAGCTTGCCCCCCCGTCCTCCACCATCCCGGGTAGTGGGAGGATGCAGGGGCTGGTTGCCCCCGGAGCAAAAGACCCACGTCTCCATGAAGGCTTGGCCCGAAAGCCCCCGGCGTGGGGCGGGACCTGGCCTGATCCTGCTGAGCACGGAGCAGCTCTTCAGTGCATTCAGGCTGCCCGTGGTTCTGGCACACAGACGCGTCGCTTTCCCGGTCGGGGACGGTCAGCCCCTCGCCCCCCACCACAGAAACACCAAATAAAGGCTCTGCAAACGCACAGTCCCACTTCTTGGCCAGAGGCAGTGGGGAAGAGTGGGGGGCACAGGGGTCAGCCTAGGAGTAATAGCTCCTAACTGGAGAAACCCCATTTTTTTCCACGGCAACAGCAAACATGGGGTTATCATCACAGCCCAGCATTTGGGGACAGGATGGGGAGTGGGTGCATAGCACAGGTAGGCAAAAGGGGTTTGAGGCAGGACCAGAACAGCCCAAAGGAGGATGTCACACACGTGACAGCCATGCTCACAGAAAGAGGGCTGTGTTTGCTTTTTCCCCTCCAGAGCTGTTTTCCTGGAGCAAGATTTGCTGTGTACAGTGTGAAAAGCTGTCTCCAAGGTCACTGCTGCATGGAAAAGCAGAGGGGGCAGCAGAGCCTTCCCTGCTCTGGCAGAGGTGAAGGGGAGGAGGGGAAGGCAAGGGGCTGAGCCCAGAGGGAGGTGTGGGGCACACACTTGGGGCAATAGATCCTGGGATACCCATGCAAGGGTTGAGATCCCCTTGCACTCACTCTGGCCCTGTGTCTATACCGAAGCACACAGGGACCAGCAGCCCTGGCATCCCTCTCCATCCCCACACAGAGGCTGCCCCACAGGAAGCAGCTTTCAGGATAAAACCAAGGAGACTCAGCCACACTTCAGTCCTTAAATAAATACAGACACCAACCACCCTCAGGCCAGGCCATGGCTGTGGCCGGCACCTGCCTGGGAGTGTGGGATCTCCCATCCCACCACCGCGAGAGTCCCTGCCGTCACCCGCTCCTCCTCCCTCTGGGGGCTGAGCCCAAGCCAAGCCCTGGACCGGGGCAGGTCCTGGCACAGTCCTGGGAAACGCTGGCTCCTCTTCCCTGAAGACCTAGCTTGGGTCTACAGCGATGCCAGGCTGGATGCCTCGTGGGGAAGGGGATGGCCACAGGGGACTGACCCTGTGTTGGCACCTCTGGTCCCTCCTTCACACTCTCCTCGGGGGGACGCACTGCCGAGCCACTCCAGGCCATGAGTGCGGCCACGTGCACCGCATGTTCGCACACGGGGATGGGCAGCTGGAGGAAGCTCCTAGATACACACACACGGGCACACACACACACCCTACTCCTCCTCTTCCACTGGTGTCGGAGTGCAGCCGGTCCTTGGCGTTAGGGCAGTCCGGGACCTGCCTGTTCTGAGACACAAGAGAGGGGTGGCACAGGGTGAGCATAGCTCTTCATGGCCAGACAAACCCCACAGGAGTGATACCAGGCATGGCATGACTGCTACTCCCCAGCACCAACTGCCATAACCCTGCAAGCTTTTGGGGCTCAGCCTGACTTCAGCTGCTGTGGGGATGGTGGGGGACATGCAGAAGGGACCAACACCATAGCACTATCATCCTCTCAGCTGATGAGACGTGGGGGCTCAGGGGAAATGACCACTGCCTGGAAACTGTGCCCTCATCCCTCCCACAAGTGTTCAGGGTGAAGGACAGGGGCACCCCCACCACTGAGGGTCTGAGCCTTACCCAAGTCTTTGGGGACTGGTTTCACCCCAGCCACTGCTTGGGTGTTCTGGCTGCGAGCCATGGCACAGGGTGGGCGCCAAGGGTACTCGGGCTGTGGGAGATGAAACAGAAACAGCAAATTACCATGTGTGTGAATCGTGAGGCTGTGCTCCGTGATTGACTGCGGGGTGTGAGGAGGAGCAGGACGGGGAGGAAGGGGGCTGAGCAGTCACATGCCAACAGAACAGAAGTGCTCAGCTCCCTGCTGGGACTCTGTGGCCCTGAAGGAGCCATTCGCTTAGCAGTGACCCCCAGACCAGCTTGCATGGGACCCTCTGCTCCCCCTCATGCTGGCACAGGTAGACACTCACCGGGGGGAAATGGTGGAAGTTCTGTGCTGGCGTGTGCTCGCCGGGCATGGCTGGTGGGTATCGGATCTGCTGCCACTCATCGTAGCCGTGGTACATGGGGTGAGCCACAGGGGGACTGTACTGGTACTGGTACATGGGGCAGGCAGGGCCCATTGGCCCTGGCCCTGGCTCGGGGTGCAGCCTCTCCCCAGAAGCCTGTAAGGAGCCAGAATAGATGTTGGAGAAATCCTGAGAGTAGCCCAGCACCACCACTACCCATCGCCCAGCTAAGAGTTGCCAGGCCTGCAGCCCCCAGCCCCTCTGCCCAAGGAGGGTTTTCCCCCTATCCCCACCTGTTTGTGCTGTTTCAGCAGCTTCTTCAGCTTCTCCTTCTCCTCCTTCTCCCTCTGGCAGTCATCCTTGGAGGCTCGCAGCTGGGAGCAACAGGGGTTAGTGCAGAGCCCACCCTGACACCCCCGTGTGTGTGGGACGAGGGTTGCTGAGGGAATGCCTGCACCTGTCCTCCCCATCAGACTCCCAGGAGAGATACAGAGGAGATGAGTGAAAGGAGATGCTCTGGCAGGGACATGCAGCAAAAAGAACACCCCTCTGGCCTTCCCATCCTCCCTCAGCCCCTACTCTTAGGTAGGTACAGGGACTGTGACACTGGGGACAAGCACTTCCAACACACACAGAGTTGACAGCAGGGCTCCTGGAGCACTGCTGGTGGCACCCAGTGCTGCTCACCTGGTTGCTGGAGAGGACCAACTGCTTCTGCAGCTTTTCCAGCTGCTGCTTCAGCTCTTCCTTCTCCTCATTCATCCTCTCCCTGTCACTCCGCTCTCGCTGGAAGTCTTCCTCAAAAATTTTCACCTGGCAGGAGGGAGGAAGGTGGGTGCACCTGGCTGAGGGCAGGCACCTCCCCAGAGCACTCCCATCACTGTCGCCATCCTGGACCCCACCAGCTCTGCCAAGCCCCAGGCACATGGGTTGGCACAATTGCCCACGGCTGTACTCCTTCCAGCTGAATGCCTGGAGGATGCTGAGCTTGCTCCCCACTCCCCACCACCACAGCACTGACACCTGTCTGGCTGCTGGGCTGTTCCTGGCCACACAGGGCTCTTTGCCAGAGAGTTCCAGTACGTGTAGCCCCTTCCCTGCCTCCAGTGGCTCCATGTCCTGCCCTACCTGCTGCTTGAGTAGCTCGTTCTGGGTCAGCAGCTCCTGCTGTGGCACCTTTCCCACCGTCTCCATGGCAAAGATGGGTGGTGGAGAGGCCTGGACATTCAAGGCCTCTTCTAGTGCCTAGAGAGGAAGAGCAGAGAGGTGGGTCAGAGCAAGATGCAGTGTCCAGGATGTGTCTGGAGACCACAGGCACACGCCCAGCATGCAAAGCAAGTACAACTGGGCACAGGCAAGAGAAACAACAGACTCTCCTTGAAGCCCCTTTCCTGGGTGAGGTGGTGTGCCTTGGCTCCTACCTTGTTCAGCCTCTGGATCTCCTTTTCTTGGTATTCCCGCTGCCTGGTGACTGGAGCCAGCTGCTCCTGCAGGAACCGCATCCTCTGCTGCAAGTCCCTCACCTCCATGGCCAGTCTCTCCTTCTCTGCCTGCAGGACCCAGGGTGGAGGGGAGATCAGCCAGGACAGCGCAATAGGGCTGGCAGCTCCCTGTCACCCTTCCCGAGCAACTTACCTCCTCTGTTTCGATCCGGGACTTGGCCAGGAGCAGCTTGCGGTCAAAATCCCGTTGCTTTTGCTCCCGCTCTGACTCCAGCTCAGTTAGTGCCCTGCGGGCATCGGCCAGCTCCTGGTGCAGGTCTGTGACCTGCCAGGAAGGAGTGGGGATGTTGGCCTGGAAGAACCCCAGCTGGGGGGAAAGGAGGTACAGGCAGCCCCCAAACCTTCCCCTGCACCCTGTTTCCTCTGAGTCCCCCCAGCCAGCACCCAGCTGAGCTGTGCCCTCCAGAGCACCCAGCCCTGAGCACCCAGTCCTACCTTCTGCTCGTACTTCTGCTTCATGGCGCGGAAATGCTGATCCCACTGCTTATTCACCTCCAGCAGCTGCAGGGAGAGAGGGATGGCTGAACAGGAGCTCAAACCCTGCTCTGAGCCAGCTGTGGTGATCCCCAGCAAACTTCTGTCATGAAAGCACCTCGGGGACCAGCTGGATGGAGATCCTGGCTCCAGCAGTGCTTCCCTGCAGCTCCACAGCCCTGCCCCGGTCTCTCGGTGCCATCCCAGCCCTGTGCCCCTGCTGCCCGCTCCCCGCCTCCTTGGCAGTGCCTCCCTCCCAGCCTGGTCCTCACCTCCCTGCGCTGGTGCTCCAGGATCTTCACCTTCTTCTCCTTGGCCTCCAGCTCTTCTCTGCCCGGCGCCTTCTCCACCATGGCCCCGCTCTGCTGGACGCGCACGGGGGGACCCTCAGGGCTTTTGTGGAGGCTGTGCCCGAGGCTGGCTAAACTCAAGACAGTTCCCCTCCCATGGCCTCCCCCATCCCCTTGAGACTCTGAGAAGTCCTGCTGGTCATACTGGGACAAACTGGGGGCTCAATTAAAATGAGGCCACCTTTGCTGATGTGTCAGCGGGCTCCCTGCCTCCTTCCCAGCTCTCTCCAAGGCAATGCTGCCTCCTCACCTGCTGTTGCTCAGCAG